GTTTATCTTCGCCTACCCCCCCCCCCTACACCTCCTTCTCGTCTGACTCCCGCCACAGTTTCCCGCCAAAATTCTAACAAGATAAACTCATTGAACACGTGTTACATCAGCAGCGTCACAAGGAGGGGTGCGGGGGTGCGGACCGCACCGGCTGACACCCGACCTAGTGACGCCACCGTGTTACATATGACCCCCGTGTTAACTGAGTAAATTAATTTCCTGTTTGTTTATTTTACATCTCCGGAAGTTACTAGAGCAACTTTAAATTGAATGATAAAAAAAAAACATCCGGAAGGCTAACTATTACTGGTGTTATCTTTACATTTCTGGGCCTGTCTTGATCTGGTCTGTAGAACGTACAACCCCAAACATTATAGACCCACATTTTCTGTAGAACATATAACTTATAACCCCAAATAGTATAGCCCCATATTTTCCATAGAACGTATAAATCCAAGCATTATAACCAGACATTTTCTGTAGAACGTACAACCAAAAACAGTATAGCTCTATATTTTCCATAGAACGTATAAATCCAAGCATTATAACCAGACATTTTCTGTAGAACATACAACCAAAAATAGTATAGCTCTATATTTTCCATAGAACGTATAAATCCAAGCATTGCATCCCCATATTTTGTTTACGCATTGAGTGCGTTGGTTTATTAAGTCAATCTCAGCTTATCTAATTTTTTTGAAAATAAAAATCGAATGGCCAACAGCATAAAATATAGATCTAGATCTATGAATGTGTATTTTTGTGTACACTATTTAGTGCATTGGTAATTGACGGAGGTGTAGATGTAGATTGGTAGGGTATGCATGTACTGTCACCTATTGAGGTAACGTAAGCAAGATATTTAGGTTGTTTGGTTGGACGATTTTTCGCACCACCCCTCATGTATTTAGCTCAATAATAATCAAAACTTATAACTATCTATACGGGTCTACGAAATAGACTGAATTGAGAAGAAACAGTCGCACACATAAACAGTGTGTAAGACGTGAAATATTGTGTCGGAAGTTATTTGTTGTTAATCACGATTCGCTTTCCAGAACAGTTCAACTTATGGGCATGCGTGAGATCTTAATTTTACTTTACATGATTATCAAAATAATTATATAGTAAGCGGATCTATACTAGTAAGAGGTTACTTTATTTTTTTTTTATTTGTTACGTTGTTTTCGACGCGTTGGCGAAATAGTGTACGAAATGGTTTGCAAAGCACCGTCGTTTGAGGAATTTAGTTGTTTTTTAACGAGGCCCACTATTGTAAAACAAGTAAGTTTATAGAAAGAAAAAAAATAAACAAGTAAGGAACAACTGAAATAACTGTTTAAAAGCGTAGTGTCAAGCTGAAAAGAGAAAATAACTTGAGATCCACTGCCAAATGAAATTTGTTTTTCTACTGCGTGCCTCCGAGGTTTCCCCGCTGATGAGATAGGCTGGGCTAATAGTGTTGGGGTAACGAGCACTCGTGGGAAACTCGTGGGGAGGGTGAGCCTCAAACCACTGGCTGGGGGGTGCGGCCGGTCACATGAGCAAGATGCTACATTGTTGCTACAGTACTTGGGCCTGATGCTACATAATTGCTACAGTAGGCTAAAGGTGGCTACATCGTTGCTACAGTAGGTCGTGGGGTGGCTACATAGCGTCGACTGTAGGCCGGAATGCCGCTACATAGTGTGACTAGGCTATATAGCTGCTAGAGTATTCCGTTATGTGGCTACCAAGCTGCTATGGTAAGCCGGCATCGGCTACATGACGGGACTGCTACATAGGCCGGCATGACAGGACTACTACATAGGCCGGCATGACGGGACGGCTACATAGGCCGGCATGATGAGCCGGCATGACGAGACTGCTACATAGACCGGCATGACAGGACTGCTACATAGGCCGGCATGAAGGGACTGCTACATAGGCCGGCATGACAGGACTGCTACATAGGCCGGCACGGCGAGCCGGCATTGCAGAACTGCTACATAGGCCGGCATGACGGGCCGACCGAGCACCTTATCAGATGTGACCGACATGCTCACGTCGATACACTCGCCTCGTGTTTATTTTTTCACGTGTAATCTGAGAATCAGGTTACTCTCACACACACTCGCACAAACAAACAAACACATACACACACATACACTAACATGCATTTTGTCTTGACATTTGAAAGTGTAAGAATGTTCCCTCGCTATAACTTTAGCAGACCTGTATTTGATTGTAGACGACAAAACAGTGGTCAATATATTTTACCTATTACATTGGCCCACTACTTAACAATTTATAATGCATGTATAAGAGTATATACAAATTAAATAACATTTCAAATATATTTTTAATACATATAATAGAATCTCTACTGAGACATTGAAAATCAACGAGGAAAAATTGTTTTATTTCTTTTTTTCTTGATTTTCCTTTTGGTTTTATTAATAATTTAACATTTTCAACATCCTAAAATATGTTAGAATCACTGAACTTGAAATTAATAGTGTTTAAAAAGACTGTAAATGTATACGTTTGTAAAGATGGACATACATACATACACAGAACTATCATAGTGTAATAGTAGAAAAATAAGAAGTGTATATGGGGAGAGGAGTATTTTGCATTACCAAAAAAAGAAAATTTTAAAACGTCCGAATTTTTACCTAAAGGGCAAACTTTCATGCTGGAAAATATTTCAGCTGAGTCGGTGTTTGGTTTCAGATCGCCACATTGTATTAACTCGTGTGGTTTCTCGTAAGGTTTCTAGGCCTCGATCTCACTAGTGGGTATCCCTAGGCTAAACAAGTAGGCATGCTGAAGTACTACAGTGTGTGTACTGTGTATTACCTTGTGCTACCTGTAAATAACTTGTGTATTACATGATCGCTACTTTGTATTACCTGTATATTTAATGTACTTCCTATGTCCCTTGTATTACCTACGTACTGTGTTTAACCTTTGTATTACTTTTGTATTACTTGCGTATTATCGGTGTACTACTTGTGTAGTACCTTTGTATTACCACCTGTAAGATAACTGTTTATTACCTCCATACTCCCTGTGTACTACCTTCATACTACCTGTGTACTACCTTCATACTACCTGTGTACTACCTTCATACTACCTGTGTACTACCTTCATACTACCTGTGTACTACCTTCATACTACTGTGTACTACCCTCATACTCCCTGTGAACTACCTTCATACTACCTGTGTACTACCTTCATACTACCTGTGTACTACCCTCATACTACCTGTGTACTACCTTCATACTACCTGTGTACTACCTTCATACTACCTGTGTACTAAACTACCTTCATACTACCTGTGTACTACCCTCATACTACCTGTGTACTACCTTCATACTACCTGTGTACTACCTTCATACTACCTCTGTACTACCTTCATACTACCTGTGTACTACCTTCATACTGCCTGTGTACTACCTTCATACTACCTGTGTACTACCTTCATACTACTGTGTACTGCCCTCATACTACCTGTGTACTACCTTCATACTACTGTGTACTGCCTTCATACTACCTGTGTACTACCTTCAAACTACCTGTGTACTACTTCATACTACCTGTGAACTAAGCGTGTATCAGCCGTGCTCTACCTGTGATCTAAAGGTTCGTGTTAATTAGAGCAAATCGCCTGTACGTTTATTGATGTCCCGGTATAAAAGTCTTAGACTCTATGTGCCAGGTTTCATCTCCGCGGTGTGTTAAAAAAAATTGTTTAACTTGCCAATTAGCCTTTGTCAAACTGTTGCACTTATTAACTGATAAAATTTCGTTATTTTTTTTTTTCCTAAAGAGAGAGACAACCCTATTTCACTTACTTTGTTCTGACATTTATTTATTTTCCTAACTTTGAAAAAATATATTTAATCATCCTAAATACTGGATGTCTTTTTATAAATTAATTTTAACTATCTAGATTTCTATCTTTATACAGACACTTCATTTTCCAAAGGAATACACAGACAGTGGAAAATATTTTTATATAAACATTTCCACCGTTAGTTTTAGATCATCAAAGTTTGTACTTAAAACATAACAATAACGAAGAAAGATTATTGTCGTCATTCATTAGATCAGGTCTTGAAGTCATTTCTACTGGCTGCCCTTTTTTCGTTTGCTTTGTACTGTGTCGTTGCACACTCAAAATCAAATTTACCATCAGTAGGTCAGATTTTCCATCATCAACTCAGATTATAAATCAGGAAATCAATATTAACACCAGTAAATCAAGTTTACTATTAGGAACTAAAATTACTTAAGATTACTAAAAGTAGTTAAGATTTACCATCTGTGAATTAGATTTACCATCAGTGAATCAGATTTACCATCTGTGAATCAGATTTACCATCTGTGAATCAGATTTACCATCTGTGAATCAGATTTACCATCTGTGAATCAGATTTACCATCAGTGAATCAGATTTACCATCTGTGAATCAGATTTACCATCAGTGAATCAGATTTACCATCAGTGAATCAGATTTACCATCAGGGAATCAGATTTACCATCAGTGAATCTGATTTAACATCAGTGAATCAGATTTACCATCAGTGAATCAGATTCATCAACAGTAAATCAGATTTACCATCAGTGAATCAGATTTATCATCAGTGAATCAGATTTACCATCAGTGAATCAGATTTACCATCAGTGAATCAGATTTACCATCAGTGAATCAGAGTTACCATCAGTGAATCAGAGTTACCATCAGTGAATCAGATTTACCATCAGTGAATCATATTTACCATCGCCAGACAATCACCGGTCGATACAACCTAACACCAACATCAAAGACAACCATCAAGATAATCACCGCTGTTCTGCGTTGATTTTTTTTTTTAAGTTTATTTTTAAATCCGCCGTCGAGTTGTGTAGATGCAGTCGATAATTCTCCCAATTTAATCAAACGCTAGACTTGCAATTAAATTATATTTTAAACGATAAAAATAAAATTCTAAATCTTTTGTTCTATTTTTCAGCGAGGACAGAAGTAGATGGCTGTTCTTGAACAACATTCTCGACAAACGTAATCTAAGGGGGGTCTGATCTGTGAGAATTCAAGTTAACTGAATTCACGAAAAAATCAGCAAAAATATGCAAATGGTAAGTAGTTTGATTGTAACAGTGTATAGATAGTACACAGGTTATTTGTATAGAAAATGTGCACTAGAAATACAAATTAAAAAATTCAAGTTAGATTAAGAAAATCATTCACAAAACTTAACAGATTGATGTATCATGTAGTCTGTAGATTGGGCGTGTCTTTAAAAATCTTTTTTATCTAAAAATATAATTGATATCGCACTGAAAATTAACCCCGTATCAGCAAGAAAAATAAAACAGAAATTAGAAAATTTTAACAGTAATTTATTTAATTAGAAGCACAAAAAATATTCTACTTTAACCAAGAAACAAAAAAAAATTAAAATAGTTCTTTTTGAAGGCTTGCACTTTTTAATACACCCGCTCTTTAGTGCGCTATATGTGTCGCCCCTCCCCACCTTCCCCGCACCCCTTTTATTTTTTTAATATAGATATGAGGATGTAACTAAAAAATAAAAACTTTTTTTTTTCAAATTTGCACCAGAAAGCGGGTATGAAGATGATAAAATTAGCAAACGTTAAATCCGGGGTAAAAAAAAAAATATTCTCTAATTGGTTCCTAGGCTTGTAGCGACGCATGCGTAATCTGTCATAACTTTTTCGAATCAGGTGATTGGTCATTAATCTAATAGCTGGCTGGCCCATTAGGTGTGGGCCATAGAACCAGGCGCTCTTGCTTATTAATCTTATAACCGGTGGCCCATTCGGGCCGTGGTCGGTGAATAAGAAAGGGGGGGGGGAGTCGTTAATCTTATAACTGCCTCGGCCGATGGCCAATAACATATTTTTTTAAATGTGATGATTATTCATTTATTTGTATAGCTAGTCGGGCCATTGCTAATGAGTCATAAGTAAGTGATTATTAAAACCAATCGGTTTTATTAACTCGTTTTGTCCAATCGGTGAGAGGAATGCACCCCCACGTGATCATTTAGAAGTCGTCATTGTTCCAATACATGAGTTGAGTTTAAGCGAGCAGTTTCAGGTGACGTCATATGATGGATGCACGTGACGTCATGTGACGGTATCATGTGACGTCATGTGACAGTTTCATGTGACGTCATGTGACGGTTTCATGTGACGTCATGTGACGGTTTCATGTGACGTCATGTGAGGGATCTATTTATGTCTACTCGGCGTCATAGATTTTTTTTTTAAACTATGTAATAGAGTAGTAAAATGTCTATTTGAATGTCTGGAATATCTTAATGAATTAAGTTAACGAAGTTATCAAGCAGATTATGTAAGGCTCCCTTTTTCATAATCTTCTAACGATATATGTAACAAATCTGTTTCACAAATCCATTAGTAAACAACAAATTAACAACTGAAATCTACCTTAAACAAAACAGCCATTGACTACTTAATACGCGGTGCTCTAGCTAAACTAGGCAGCGAAGGGGGGGGGGGGTGATGGGGGGTTAACAAGTTCACGATCGTGATCTGGTCACGGAGGTTTGGTTTTAGACAGACGACGACCTTATGTATGGGTCACGGGTCAGCTGTAAGCACCCGTGTCTGCCCATATGGTTATGACAATCCTCGCCATTCACATACACGTTTCGGAACATGACATGTCATAGGCGCAATATGAATGTAGCTGGCACTGTTTCTCATAGCAATACACAGAATCTTGTATCAATGTGAAAATAGGATTTGTCTTTTCTTGTTATTGAGTAAAAACTGTATTTGTTTTCTTTTTTTAATCACAGTTTTATGTATATGTAAAAGCTCCAGTTTCTTATTACAAGAGTATCAATGTTTTTTGTTCATATATTTTTTTTATTAATTTTTTTTTTTAAATTAACCACTCAAGTTATTTTATTCGTAATGGGACATCGTCGGTCAAAACTGTTTTTTTTTTCTTAACATAATATACTTATTTGTTTAATTTCCTGAACAAATAACTAATTTAACAGAATTTTTATAAATAAAAACGTAGTAATTTTAATTTGAACGAACACACTTTTTTTTGGAGCAGCGATTTTGTCCCTAATTTTAAACTTCACCTGTCAGAGAGCAGCAATCGTCTGCTGTTGATCCAGGTGTCTGGATGTATATGTTCTATCATACAGAAACGTCGGCTGTTATGAGTAATGTGATAGATCCAGGTAACGAGCCTGAGTCAGTCGAAAGTAATTAGCAGGTGAATAAGTGCATTTGGAGGCCTGAACATTTTTTTTAACCACTCCCCCCAATCCTACCTCCCCCCCCTCCCTTATCATACAATTTATTTGATTACCGACATCATGTGTGTTCGATTTTTCCCCATCCTCGATTCTCCCAGGAGTAAAAAAAAAAATAGATCCTCCCAGGAAAGAGGCTTATTAGGTTGTGATTAGTTACACGTCACGGTTGAGGGAGTTTTGAAAGAAATTAACCTGGTGTGTTGGGGTTTAGGGGTCGGGTCTAGGGGGTCGGGCCAGTAGTCAGCGCGCCGTTGGAGCTGACGGATAATGTTGTTTTCTGCGTGGTTCGGTTGAAGTCAACTTCTGATGGTGAAGATATTTCGTTTTAAAGTCTTTGTTGGTTTGTTTTTTTTTCTTTTCGGTAATTATACGAACGGGAAAAGTTTATAAAGAGGTGGTTTGTGCTATGTAGGTTCTTGAGATTTAGAAGTTTTAAGTGGATTGAAGTTCGCGATATTTAATTAACAAGGGTGTACTGCCTATTTATAAGACAGAAAATCCTGGTTATACAAATGTTGCAAGTTGAATGTGCAATGCGTGTTGTTGTTTTGTTGTAATTGTGAATTATTTTGTTTGTTTATCAGAACGGAAGTCGGGGTTCCTAAATCTTTTAAGTGAAAACACAACGCTAGTGTTGATGGTTAATTTTTTAAATTTAAAATTGTTCTTAAAATTTAATTTTAGCCTTTTCATTTGAAGCCTTTTGACTGGATTTTTAGTGCATTGTTCTTAGAATTTCATTTAAAGTATTTAAAAGCTTTCGATTAGATTGTTTAAAGATTTTCTTGGAAATGTATTTAAGCTGAGTTATTTTAACACTTTTGACACGGTGCATTTTGAATAGCTTTCAGATCTCAATCCTGGTACTTCTGAGTACCGACCGGTATTTACTTAGCCTTCCAACACAACCTTCAGGCATGCGGCCATACCGTCATAGCATTAACAAATCTGATTCTCTTCCTCTTTACCCCACCCCCAAGAAGACTTATTAATACTCTAAGGGTTGGGGGATTTTTTTTTATGTAACCCATACATAAAAAATATTTTCCCAGGCTGTTGACTCTGAGCCTGGAGCAACCCTTGAGCCCGGAGCACTAATGTTGTTTAATCCCCCCGCGAATGTTGCCGGCTGTCTAATAAGTTGCCGGCTCTCTAATAAGTTGCCGGCTCCCAAATAAGCTTCATTCTGTTACATGGCACCGGCTTGGTGTTGTTTTTTTTTCTTTCCTTTTACACGCATTCTTCCCCTGAAATGTTCTTTTTTTTTTTAGAGTTCTCTCCCCTTGCTAAAGAATCAAAAATTTTAAGTCGTGTTTGTCAACCCCTCCTCGCACCACCCCCACGCTTTTTTTTTTTCTTCAACCCTTTACTTACATACGAACTTATAAGAATTTACTGTCAGTAAAGTGTCACGGGAATCACGTGAGAAGTGTGGAGCTGCCGCTTTAGCTTACCATCTGACAAACACGGGACGTTTCGTGTATTCGGTTTATCAGACTTTCGGTTAATCGGGATGACCGTTTTAACGAGATTTTTTTTTTCTTTCTTTTTTTTCTGTTTGATCTTGTAACTCCTGGCAGCTTCTCATTACCGGGGCATTTTAATTAAGTAATTTAGTTTCTGGCGTAGATACGTCTAATTAACCAAGAATGTCTTCAGTCCCGAAATCGCGTCTGAAGTGTTAAAAATAGCGCGCTGTTGGTTCGGGAGTCGAAGCAGTTAAATTCTAACTTCGAACAGGCATTTTGGATGTACTTGAAATCAGCAGCGGTACAGTCCCGTCTGGCATTTAAAATATCGCTACGCGTATCTTTGATTGTTGTTATATTTCGTAACAAAATACACAATTCATATAGTCCACACAAGGTGACAAGACAGGCCTCATGGTCTGTGTTTCGATTGTATAAATCGGGTTACTCATTTAAGCCAAATCACATTTGAATTCGTTTTATGAAAGACGTTTGATGATGCGTGATTTTAAAAAAATTGTACAATTGCTTCATTGTTGTTTCATTATTCATCAATAAAATAATACTCTTCATTAGCCTGTAGTGTTAGTTAGAATAAGATATGTGAGGTTGTTTTTTTTTTTAACTGCCTTTAGTAAAAGTTGGCTCCCCAGAAACGTTTGGCACTTTGCATGTCATCTACCAAGGAAAATCTGCCCTGCTTTAGGCTCAAGTCAGTCGGCTAATCAGAGGTAGTTTTGTGTATAGGCTCAAGTCAGTCGGCTAATCAGAGTTAGTTCTGTGTATAAAACACTGACTGGCACCGCTAGACACGCTCCGACTCGATTTGTTTTTCCTTGTGCGCACCACTTGACTTGGGATCATCTGGCATGGGGGTGGGAGGATGGGGGGGGGGGAGACACTAAAGGGGAATGTCCTGTTTGAGATTATATGGTGTTATGGGATGAGACTAAAAGGGAAGTGTCGACTTGCGTTTAAACTGCCTTGTGGTGGGGGGGGGGGGGGTAGGAAAAGTATATGAGATCATATGATATTAGAGGAAGGGACTAAAAGCAAGTGTCCGATTTTATATATTTTCTACATAGAGGGGTCTCTGCGGGAAAATAACATATTTTAGAGTATGCGGCGTGATGGGGGGGGGGGGGGGCTCTAAAGGAAATGTTCGTCCAGCACTACCTGGAAAGATTGTGTGGTATAGACGAGAATGTTTGAAATATAAAACACGAAGGTTTCATTTTTACCAAGATCTACCTCAATATTGTGTGACTTTTTGGTAAATGTTGGGTCTTTCTGCTTCCCCCCCCCCCCACACACACACACCAAACGCCCGCCTCTCCGCTAGATGCTTCAAGTCATCTGCCGACCTACCATGTAAGTCTCCTAGTCTCCATTCGTGTAATGTGTGGTTCAAAAAAACGCTGAGCTAAACACTTTATATCCCTGAGTGGGGCCAACACTGTTCTTACAACACTTCAGTTCAAAACGAAACCAAATTACGTAATGATTACTTTTGCCTTTATAACGACATTTCTGGGAATTAGGTACTAAGGGTTTCTTTGAGTAAGCAGTAATTAGTAATTTACCAAGGTAATTTTTTTTTTACTTTTTGTGAAAAATTTGTGAGAACAAAAAAATGGGATTTAAATGTATAAGTCTCTGCGTTGTAAAGACATATTTTAATTAATTTGTTTTTTACTCTAAAGTAGATATGATAATCAAATAAGCAAAATTTATTAAATGAAATAAAGCTTTAAAAAATGTAGAATTTATATATAAATCATCTTTCGTTCAAACATTTATCACCTTGAGCCAAGACTTGTTTTCAAATTTGAGATTTACTTTATTAGAAATAAACACAACGCTACTATTCTCATTTTTTTTAAATTATTTTTTAACTGCCACTCAACCTAAACTGACGTACGCTGGACAGTGCGACGGCCTGGCCGGCACCGATTTTTTATGTGGCTAGTTCTCCGTGCGGTGCGAGTCTGTAATTTGTCGCTGATGGGGGGAAAAAAGGTGAGAATTTGAAGCATTTTCTGCCATCTCGCGAGCGCACGTGTTGAAAAAACAGGAGCAATCTCAGCAGGCGTAGATAATATAGTTATGAGCATACGAGTTAGCTTGTCCTTAAAAAAAGAGCAGGGGGGATAGGAAAGGGGGGAAGGGGGGAACTACAACTTTACGTTCAAACGAACGATAATGATTAACTTAAGAAAGTTTTTTTTTTTTAGCTTCTGAAACATATTTTTTATTTACCCGGCTTTGACTCTAGCATGAGATAGTGTACAAGATATGATATTATAACTTAGTTCACTACACAGGTCCAGATGGCGTATTGAGCACAAGGGGTCTAATTGAAATGAAACATTTACTATCGGACAGATCGGATTCGGCGCGGGATTTTTTTAGATCAGATGAGCGTTAGGTTCTGTGTGTGTTGGGAGGGAGGCATGCGCAGGGGAGGGGGGGGGGTCGGTCTATGCCATGTTCAGAATACCACGGAGGCTGGGGAGGTAGCTAATGAGTTAAACACACGCTTATGGAAAAGTACGGGGGAATGAGAGACACAGATGTAAAGAATAAAACAAAAAACGCTAGAGAAAGTAGCAGAATATAATAAAAATATTCTTTAAAAAAAAATGTTACTTACTAAATCTATTTCTCTTTCAAATGTGTGCGTGTGTTCTTTAGTGTAAGCGTGTTTCTATTAATTAAGCCAGAAATGTTCTAGTAATCTAGCTTTTGATGTTTATTTTTTATTTATGACACGTATCAGAACAGAACTTGTTACATATGCTAAATGTATGTTACAAATGTACGTTAGGCTAAGCATCCAGCTAGAGGTTTAATTTCATAGCAATGATAGAGGAAACCTGCTTTTAATATTCCAACACCCCCCCCCCCCCCCCCGCGCTAACTTTTAATGCATTTTTTTTTAAAGAAGCCAAAAAAAAAATGCGATTTTTTTTTTCTTATGGTGAACTTTGACATGAGCTAGCACCTCGGTTTGAGAGTTTTCCCTGACAGCTGTCTGTACCGGCACATTGGTCGAGGAATGTCTTGTTCCATTGAGAGAGTACACACCCGGAGACGCTTGACTTGACGGAGACACGTCAATGGTCTCTATACACCGTCTTCTGCTGACAGCCATTGCTGACTCCCACGCCCCAAGATAAATCAGTTTTCAATTTTCCTCCCGTTCGTTCAACCTACCCCAAAAAGCAAATACCTGATGAAAAGAGCGCCCGTTTGCTTTGATGGCAATGATAAATATCAGAGCAATATTTTACGATCGATTGTTTTATAAAAGAAAAGGAGAAAAGGGAGGTAAAAAAAAAAAAGAAGAAAAGAAAACGAAACAATTTGCCTTTGGGTGTTTGGATTGTCAAGGGGACACAACTGGTTGTAGGTTTAGTGGGAAAGTGGTTTGGTTAATGGGAGTTACTCATCTTGGCGTGGCACAGCTTGTGGCTATTGAAGCGGGTCCGTTTAGGAGTCTTCGTGTCCACACGTCTTTCGTTAAAAATAAATTCCTTTTATTTAACGTAACTTAGAGAACATCTTAATTGACACTCTTTTAGTAAGCCTAGATGGGAAAGTTGTTTTTTTTTTATTGTTTTCGAAAACATTCTAGTGTTTCTAGACTACCTGTAGTAGGCCTAATTCACTTAAATTGGGGGGGGGGGGGGGGGGGGGGTTGTGATTCTTAAATTTTTCTTGCGGGATTTTATTTATACAGATCATGTAAGTTAAATCTTATAATCTAATTAATTACTCTTAAGCGTCTTAACTATTAAATCCCAAATTCAGAACACAACCTTGTAGTTATGAATAAGGCGGACAAATTGAGAGAAGGGGAGGGGGGATATTTTCGTATAAGAATTTTACTTCATCATATAACAATCGTACTAACTAACTACACAAACTTGTGCTATAAATACACAGCTATTGACAGCAAAACTAGACCACTACTAAACTTTTGCTATAAATACACAGCTATTGACAGCAAAACTAGACCACTACATCTAGACAAAGTTTGAGAACAGCGCTCCGTATCGTGTGTGTGTAATTCTATTTTTATCCCGTCTTCATTTTTCCTCATTACCCAACATCATCAAAATATGACACTAATTAATACTTATTCAGCCAGGATAATAATTAAAGGATTAAAAAATCAAAATCCGTTAGGTCCCTGACTACCCCAAAACCAAAGACAAGCCACGTGCTACACCACGTGACAAATTAATCCGCGCTAACGGATGGATGAATACATCTTTCATAGCCCTCGCACATAACACACAGCACACACACACACACACACACACACACACACACACGTCCGTCTTTACACAGCAGACGTCATCCATGCGTGACGGTTACTTAAGATATTAAATCGGCAATCAATATGAAAATATAAAAAAAAAATAAAGTGCGTACATTTCAACCCCCTATACACACCCTATACACACTGGACTACTGCAACTACTGTATATATTTCGTTATATATATATATATATATATATATATATATATATATATATATATATATATATATATATATATATATATATGTGTGTGTGTGTGTGTGTGTGTTAGTGTGTACATATTATAATTATTATTACCTTTTATATATATATATATATATATATATATATATATATATATATATATATATATATATATATATATATATATATATGTATATGTGTGTGTGTGTGTGTGTTAGTGTGTACATTTTATAATTATTATTACCTTTTATATATATATATATATATATATATATATATATATATATATATATATATATATATATATATATATATATATATATATATATATATATATAACCTTTTTTATTACGATCATTATGTTACAACAATATCTAAAATAAATTTTATTATTGATCCATCAATTTTCTTTATCCGCACCTCTCCCCCGCCCCCTTCTTTTGTACCTCCCCCAGGTTGTACGACCAACCCAGCAGTCCCAAATGGCTGGCTGTATGAGCCCGTGCGAGAGGGATACGCATGACAGGACGCCGGCTTGAGCGAGCCGGCCGCCATTGTGTTAACGCCGCGTGTCCGCGCAGCCATGGAAACCTACAAACATCCAGACCGGAAGTTTACTGGGGATACATAAAAGACGTACGATTTTTGTCTGACTGCTTCTCTCATTAGGAATTCGTATTTTTATTTTCCCGTAACAAATTTAGATGAATTTTAGAACTTTATGGGACATTAAAGATACATGAATTAGTTAGTCAATCGGTCAAATAATTTAGCTTTTTATAATTAGAAAAAAAACCATAATATTTATTTTATTAACAACCGCCCACCCAGCCGACCACCCTTCTCCACCCCGCCCACAATACTTAAAAATATTTTATGATTCGAAGTAATAAATCTATCAATCAGTTCATTTAGTTAATTATGGTAAAGTTCATCGGTACTTATAAATTAACATTTAAAAGGTAGAACCTTTAAAAAAAACATAGTTTAAAATTATGGTGTAGAAGTATTTTATCTTCAGCTAACGTTTAGCTAAAGTTGACAACCATCTAAAAAAATCAATGTCAGTTTGATCTTATTATCCGATATGGTCTACTGACAGTCAAAACTCTTAAGCATTAGTTTTACAACGTGTGTGATAGATTTGTGTGTGTATGTGTGTAAGCAGTGTTTCTTTCAGGCATTTATCTCTAAGGAGGGAGGGGGACTTGAAACTTTAGGGCGAGGGGTGCACTATTAAATTTTCCGGGTGGGGGCGGACACTGGTAAAAGTATTATATATCAAAAGAAATTCTATTTTGTTGGGGGGGGGGTGGGGGGGGGGGGGGGGGTAGACGAGTTTCGGAGAGATGGGAAAAATCACTGTAAGGGGGGGGGGGGGGAAGGCAACAGTCTGTTTTGTTACGTTTGTCATTGCTTAACATTGTACTTGCTCTTCCTGTAATAAAACGGTGCCTGTCGACCTTAGTGTGTTCTTAAGTCCGCGGTGTTCTGTAGTTGCAGGAATAAGTTCTAGAACCATGCAAGGATGGTGGTCTCTGGATCAGCTTCCTCAAAAAAAAAAGGTCACAAGTCTTAGTGACCAGTTGCCCGGCAACCATGTGTTGTCCTTAAAAAAATGTCCGCCACCCCCCCTTATTCTATCAGCTGTGTTCATGTAACGTCACAACAACAACGTTACGCCACGGTTCCCAGTCTCCCCCCCCCCCCCCCACACACACATACGAGATTGGCTATAAAATACCAGCCTTACCGTCCGGTCGTTGGCCCGGGTTACTTTGATGGGGGGAAGTTTTTTCGATTGTATCCTCGTATTGATTCTATTGGCGGCGTCTCGATTTCATACAGTCCTCCCCCCTTCCCCGTCCCTCACTTTATGTCCTCAGTTCGCTAACTAAGATATCGGACTGTTTTTAATCAAGACTTTTTTATTGGAAGATTTTTTTTTAATGGATGGTCTGGGTTGAATTGGAGGAAAGGGGTTGGCGGTGGGGGAGGGTAAAGGGGAAGGGGAGAAAAGCGTGGGAATCATTAAGAATTGATTAGCAAATGAGGCTCTGATGGAATCAGCGGGGAAAACGGCGATACAGTTTCAATATCCGAGAGTGGTGGATTGGGTGGATACGTGTGGTGGATGTGGTGGATACGTGTGGTGGGTGTGGTGGATACGTGTGGTGAATGTGGTGGATACGTGTGGTAAAGTTGTGTGGCTGTCGTCTTGGTGGTAATGTTATGTGGTGATGTTGACTTTTTGTAACGTTATGTTGCTGTTCTTGGTGGTGACGTTATGTTGCTGTTCTTGGAGGTAAAGTTATGTGATGATGTTGATTTTGCGGTAACGTTATGTGGCTGTTATTGGTGGTAATGTTATGTGGTAATATTGACTTTTTGTAACGTTATCTGGTGATGTAATTCTAGTGGAGTTTTTTTTTAAAGTACGTTCAGATGGGTAGCAACCAACATGTGGAATTCCAGAAAAACATTAAATGGTAATATGTGAAACTATGTTGTGTGGTAGTTTAGGTGGTATTCTCATTTCTGTGGTGACTTCGGTGGTAGTCTCTATTGTTTGTTTGTTTGGTGGTAGTTTTTTTTTTACCCAGAACATCATCATAGCTGGCCACACATCCTCAGACCTAGAACATCATCATAACTGGCCACACATCTCTAGAACATCATCATAGCTGGCCACACATCTCCAGAACATCATCATAGCTGGCCACACATCTCCAGAACATCATCATAGCTGGCCACACATCCTCAGACCTAGAACATCATCATAACTGGCCACACATCTCTAGAACATCATCATAGCTGGCCACACATCTCCAGAACATCATCATAGCTGGCCACACATCTCCAGAACATCATCATAGCTGGCCACACATCCTCAGACCTAGAACATCATCATAGCTGGCCACACATCTCCAGAACATCATCATAGCTGGCCACACATCTCCAGAACATCATCATAGCTGGCCACACATCTCCAGAACATCATCATAGCTGGCCACACATCTCTAGAACATCATCATAGCTGGCCACACATCTCCAGAACATCATCATAGCTGGCCACACATCTCCAGAACATCATCATAGCTGGCCACACATCCTCAGACCTAGAACATCATCATAGCTGGCCACACATCTCCAGAACATCATCATAGCTGGCCACACATCTCCAGAACATCATCATAGCTGGCCACACATCTCTAGAACATCATCATAGCTGGCCACACATCTCCAGAACATCATCATAGCTGGCCACACATCTCCAGAACATCATCATAGCTGGCCACACATCCTCAGACCTAGAACATCATCATAGCTGGCCACACATCTCCAGAACATCATCATAGCTGGCCACACATCTCTAGAACATCATCATAGCTGGCCACACATCTCCAGAACATCATCATAGCTGGCCACACATCTCCAGAACATCATCATAGCTGGCCACACATCTTCAGAACATCATAGCTGGCCACACATCTCCAGAACATCATCATAGCTGGCCACACATCTCCAGAACATCATCATAGCTGGCCACACATCTCCAGAACATCATCATAGCTGGCCACAGATGTACCTAAACAAACACAGCAATGTCAACGAGAGACATTAAAATCCGGCGGGTGAGGGAGGCAGGGGAGGGCGCCGTTCTTGTCTTTGGTTATCTAGCTGTATGATTGCAGAGCAACATCATAAAGCTAGGTTACCAAAGGCAAGACTGGAAGCCATAAACATCGCCGGAGTCTGCTTAGTTACTCATGGCTGCAGCTATATCTTGAAGCTAGGTTACCAAAGGCAAGACTGGAAGCCATAAACATCGCCGGAGTCTGCTTGGTTACTATGGCTGCAGCTATATCTTGAAGCTAGGTTACCAAAGGCAAGACTGGAAGCCATAAACATCGCCGGAGTTTCATTGGTTACTATGGCTGCAGCAATATCTTGAAGCTAGGTCACCGAAAGCAAGACTAAAAGCCATTCAATTTAGCCAGAATCTGATCTTCTATTCTTGATACAAAGCACAAAGAGAAAATGTAGGCCTACTTTATTTCTATCGTTACATCTGTCGCTCTATGGGCAATTGAAGCCGGCGGTCTACTAAACAATAGAATACATAAATGTCTTGAGTCACACTTTAGTCGGCAAAGTTTCTGTAAAATTAAAGAACCTATTGTTGGCTTTAAAGAAGGCAATCGACCCATCGGACTTAAATCAATTGGAGAGATCTTCCATTGGGGTAGAGAAAGTTTGTATAGACTGGAGTTAACAAGCCACATGTGGTCTTCTAGTTTTCATGAAATTTTAATTCACGTTTGATCTTCCGTTTTTTTTTATTGCTGTGAACGTAACAGAAGATGTAGATTGTTGAATTTTAAAACAATTTTTTTGTAAGTTCGATAATTTTAATGTACAGAGACCTCATTTTGTTTGAAACATAATATGTACATGTTGAAGACAAAGCCCGTCTTTGATCACTGGCTTTAAGATATTTTTTAAAAACCCACAAGTGTTCCATCATACGGTTGTCACGTGTCAGTTTTAGATTACTTAGGTGTTAGCCTCTGTTTTGGTCTTGTTACAGAAAATTTGAGCCGAACATTTCGAAACGTTATTTCAATAATACTATTTGGTCATCACCACAGCCTATATATATATATATATATATATATATATATATATATATATATATATATATATATATATATATATATATATATATATATATATATTACAGGCAATAAAAAATAAATTTTCACCCATGTCATGATTTTTCTATTTTTTTGAAGGTGTGATCCCCTATAGTGTTTACAATTGACTGAGGCTGCCACTGTCTACTATTGGATGTCCAGGATCTCACGTGACCCATCCAACAGACCTGTCACGTGACCCAGTCGACAGACCTGTCACGTGGCCCATCCAACAGACCTATCACGTGATCCACTCAACAGACCTGTCACGTGATCCACTCAACAGACCTGCCTTAGAATGTGTTGAGATGAGTTCACTTGTCCCCAGCTAATCAAGAAAATTTTCACACAATAAAAGACGGCACTCATTGATTTGATTTGGTTTTTTTTTAATTTTTTTTCTGTGGTGTATGGAGTGGGACTTGGATACTGTGTATGTATGTATCTGTTTTATTGTATTTGTATCATGGTTGTATCATATTTTTATCATTTTTGTATCACATCATTAACATAAGTGTATCATATATGTATCCTAGTTGTATTATTACAGTCATAGTTGTGTTAAATATACCGTAGTTGTATCATATATGTGTCATAGTTGTACCATATCATTATCATAGTTGTATCGTATATGCATCATAGTTGTATCATATCAGTCTCACATCCTATATGCTGAAGTGGGTAAACAATAGAGCCCCACCCCTCCCACCACCCCCCACCCAGTCTATCAGCACCGCCTAATCTCCAATACTACAGCGGCAGTAGGTAGTGCAAATGTAGCTCCACATTGCAATAGATATTTTATATTCAACCAATTCTGAATCGGATCGAATTCGGAAAATTCCGCTACTAAATCGCTTTCTAAATTCACATTTAACCCCACCCATCACACACACACACACACACACACACACACACACACACACATTTACACACACTATTGATATTTTAAAATAAAAGAACAACTATAAACACTTAGGTACTCGTGAGTTGGGTAAAGTAGGGCGCAGTAGATTGTTCGCCTCGGGCGCCACTTTTTTTTCTATTTACATATGTAGGGGCGGCTAAATTGAGAGTCCGCCCCGGGGGGCGCTACGCTAAGTGTTAACATTTCTGTGTAAAACAAAGTTACCGTCACCCCGACCCGGTTCCAAATTTCTCAATTTTAGCAGTATAGTTAGTGGGATTTTTTTTTCCATATCTAACCATTCAATTCAATTTTTTTATTTTTGAAGACCTTCAGTTCTGACCGAGAGAACCACACACAAAAAAAGCAATTGTTGCTGCCCACGAGTAGATAATGGATCTAAATTGTCCGATTCCATCCCATAAGCGCGGCGACCCCCCCCCCCCCCCCCTATTCTACGGAGGTACCCCGTCAACAATGACGTACGCCGACAA